CGTTAAGTAAGATAGTGGGGATGGGCCTCGATGAGAAGACGGAGCTTGAACAAAGAACTGTCGGAACTGAGGGAGCAGGCCAGGGTGGGAAGAGTGTTCTAGGCAGAGGAGAGAGCCAGTGCGAAGGCCTGGAGGCACGAGCAGGCCCCATGTGTTCGAGAAAGAGCGAGGAGGCCAGAAAGGGAACAAGGGCTGGATCGCACGGGGCCTTGTGAACCATTTTAAGGACTTTGGCTTTTACTGTGAGTGAGATGGGAGCCACACAAATGTTTTGAGCAGAAGCGGGACCCAACCTGACTGCAGTTTCATGGGGATCCCTCTGGCTGCTGTTGGGTCAGCAGACTGTGGGTGGTGAAGCTGAAACACGGGACTGTTTAGGAGGTGACTGCAGTAGTCCAGGTGGGAGATGAAGGTGGCTGGGCTCTGGCACAGGCAGAGGGGTGGTGCTGAGTCTGGGGGAGGGGCTCAGACTCGGATGTCTGACAGATACAAGTTCAAATCCTGTTTCTTCACTTTATGTACTTGTTTTTCTTTTTTTGTTTGTTTGTTTGTTTTATTTTTAGAAAAACTTCTTGGCAGCTGTCCTGTTACAGAGATCTGAACCTGTGACCTTGGTGGTACACGGTTGTGCTCTAACCAACTGAGCCAACTGGCCAGCTCGTTTTTCTTCACTTTAATAAACCCCAGCTTCCTCACCAGTTTGTTTCTGTCAAATAGTGATAACAGCAAAGCCTTTTCCTAGAGTGGTTGTGAGGACTGGATGAAATTCTGGAGCCTGGGACAGAGGAGGCGCTCAAGCAATGCGGTGGCTAACAGGAGGGTTACCTGGTGATTCTGGGGAGGGAGCTTTATGCTGGGTGTTCTGCCTCACCCCCCCCCTCCAGGAAAACTCTTCAAGTGAAGATAGTTGATGACGAGGAATATGAGAAAAAGGATAATTTCTTCATCGAGCTGGGCCAGCCCCAGTGGCTTAAGCGAGGGATTTCAGGTGAGGATGCCGGGTGGGCTGTGGGAGAGATAAGGAGTCCAGGGTTGGGGGACCCTTGAGGGCTTAATTGCGGGCGCTCCTTCAAGCTCGTAAATCTGAGCTTCGCAGGGAAGTGATCTCACTGTCTCCCTGTCTCTGTCTCTCCCCAGCTCTGCTACTCAATCAAGGTGAGTGGAGTCACCTCCGGGCTTGGAATGGGAAAGGGCCACTGGAAGGGGGCCTCAGGGCTGGGTCAGAGCCCAAACTACCCTTCTAGGTGGGGTTTGAGGCAGGTTGGAGGTAAAGGCAGATTCAGGGCTGAGTGAGGGCTGGAGCTTGACTTAGAGTTGGTGTGAGTTTGGGGTTACACTTAGGGGTTTGGAGGTAAAGACTATAGTGTAGTTTGGGGGAAGAATAAATCATAGAATCAGATCTGAGTTTGTGGTAAAGTCAGAGGGAATCAGGTTTGGGATTGATTTAGGACAGGGGTGGGGCTGGGATTTGAGATCAGTGTTAGGACTAGGTTAAGGTTAGAGGTTAAGACAGAGATTGTTCTCTGGGATTGTGGTGGGATCAAAATCGGGGTCAGATTTAGGTCAAAGCTGATGTTGGAGTTTAAGATGAGTAATAGAGTTTGAAGGATTTTGGTTAGAATTGGGGTTAGGGTCAGAGATTGGGGTAAGAGCTGGGGCTAAGTGTAGTGGCTTGGAGATAGTGACAGAGTAGTTTTGGATTCAAGGTCAAAATTGGGGTTTGGGGTTAGGATTAGTGTTACAGTAAAGATTGTATTAGTTAGGGTAAGTAATACAAGCTGCTGTAACAAACAGACCTGCAAATCCTAGTAGCTTAACACAATAAATGCTATTTCTTGCTTGGGCAAAGTTGTATGAGAGTGTTCCTCCTTGGCGGGTGGCTTTCCTCTGCCATGTGACCATTCCATCCTATGGCTCCACCATGCCAGGAAGCTTTGGCATTGCCTCTGGACCCTCAACTGCTTCCAGCTGGCAAATAGGGCAAGAGAGTTAGGAGGATCACATGGGAGGTTTCCTTGGGCCAAGCCTGGAAGAACTGCGCATTACTTCTGCCCACATCCTATTGGCCATAGCTCCGTCACATGGTCATGCCTAGCTGCAAGGAAGGCTGGGAAATGTAGCTCAGCTGTTTTTCTGGGAGGAAAAGGAGCAGGGTCAGGTAGACACATTGCAGTCTCTGATACATGGTCAAGTTCTTTCTTAGTGATAGCGTCCGTTAGGAGTTGGGAGTGAGGTTTGAGATCAGATTTAGGACTGGAGTTAAACGTGGAGTTACGAGTTTGGGATTTGGCTTTGGGTTACTGATGGGCCAGGTTATGGTGAGTGTTAGGGTTAGGATTGGAGTTTAGAGTTAGGGTTGGATTGAGGTCAGATCTAGGGTTAAGGGCTGGGGTTTGGAATCAGTGTTGGTGACAGAATTACATTTGGGATCACAGACTCCAGCTTAGAGTTAGGGACCAGAATTAGGGTTGGGTTGGTGCTGGGTTTGGAGTAAAAGGTCAATATATTTTGGAAAGATAAATCAGCTCAGGGCCAAGATGTAGGTGGGTCTGGGTCAATATTTGTACCAAGATCAGATGTCCTTTTCTTTCCTCATCACCTCAGACACACTCTAGAATGTTCCCAGAGCTTGGATGTAGAAATCAGGCCTCCTCCCAAAAGAGTGGTGATGATGATGACAATGTTGGTGATAACAATAAAGAAAATAACATTTGTTGAATATTTATTGTGTGCTTGGCACTATTCTAAGCACCACACATGAATTAACTCATTTAACTCTCACAACTGCTCTATGAAGTAGGTACAGCTATTGTGCCTGTTTTACAGATATGAAAACTGAGGCATAGAGAGGCTAAGGCATTGCCCAGGATCACACAGGCTCCACAGTATGAACCCCAGAGCCCAGCAGCTGAACTGCATGGACAGCCCACTGGAGCTGGGTCTCAGGGCTGAGGGAGGGGGGCGGCTAGACGGGAGGCTGGAAGGGGTCACCAAGGAGGCTTCCCAGAGAGCAGGTGGGTTTCTTCTGTCTGTGAGAACAGGTAGCAAAGGCATCACAGGCCCAGTTAGGCAGGCCTCCTGGTAGTCTAACACCCGTCCCTCGTGCTGCAGGGGATGGGGACAGGAAACTGACAGCCGAAGAGGAGGAGGCTCGGAGGATAGCAGAGATGGGCAAGCCGGTTCTTGGGGAAAACTGCCGGCTGGAGGTCATCATCGAGGAGTCGTACGATTTTAAGGTTATTTTCTGGGGCTTCACCTTCCTGGAGTCTGGTCTGGGTCATTTCCTTACGGAGGGTCTCAAAAGGGAGGAACCATGAAGGTTTCATGGGTGGAACAACCAAGGGGTCCGTCTCAGCACCGCAGACAGCACACACTTCCCTTTTTCTTTCCTGCTGGTAGAACTGAACATGGGGTGTGAGCCCCCAACCCCAGTACCTCTCGTGGGGCTGCCCTGGAGTACTCATCGGCAATGATCTCTCCCCTACTCTCTCATCCCCAGAACACAGTGGATAAACTCATCAAGAAAACAAACTTGGCCTTGGTGATTGGGACCCATTCGTGGAGGGAGCAGTTTTTAGAGGCAATTACGGTGAGCGCAGGTAAGTGGGGAGGGAGGAGAGAGAAGAGAGAGGGATGGAGAGACAGACAGAGAAAGGGGAGAAATGAATGGAAAGTCAGAGAGGGAGAGAGGGACAGAGAGAGAACAGAGTGATGGAGAAGAGAAAGAGGGCAGGAAAGACACAGAGCACGACACAGAGAAGAAACAGAGGCACAGAAAGACGAAGGAAAACGTAGGAGGCAGAGATGAGCAAGACAGACAGGCCCACACAGAGATACACACAGAGAATCAAAGGAAGACAGAGACATGGAGGAGGCAGGAGACGGAGAACGGGAGTCCAGCGCGCTAGAGTGGGCCGGCAGACGCTGGGACAGAGCAGGGACAGGACAGAGGCACAGAGGACAAGCGCAGGACTCTTCTTTGGCTTTAAGCTGAGGGGAGGAGGGGACCTGACCTGGGCAGGCAGTTGGAGGGTGGGAACAGGTTAAAGGGCATGGCTTCCCCAGAGCCTGGGTTCCTCTGTTGCCATGGAGACAGTCACTGGGCACCCAGTTCTCTGCCTCCTGTGGGAGTCCCCACCCTTCCTAGGCCTCAGACTGGCCTGCACTGCCCTCTTGTGGCCGTAGACACTATGACACTTGGATCCGCAGACTGGATCTTGGAGATTAACACTGGCCTTTTGTAATATAGATTGGGGAAACTGAGGCTCAGAGATAGTGAAGGGAGTGGCCTGATGTCCCACAGTGAGTCCAAGAGGCTGAGGTTGGAGGCCAGGGCTTCCATTCCTTATATAACATCAGGTTTCCTTCAGGAAGGCCCCAGCTGGTGGGGACTGAAAACACAGGAAGAATTGTGATTGGAAAGAAATTGGTGAGTGGGATCAAAAGAAACCAGGCTGCAGGGATGGAAAAATACCAGGAAGCAGGTTTAGAGACACTAGATTGTAGGCCTAATGGAAAAAAAGTGGCCTCTGCCTCTGAAGCCACATTCTTTCAAAATATTTCTGAGGGATCCTCTGGACCCAGCCTTGTGTAGGACATTGCAGGGGACAAAGAAGTGGCCAAGACAGTCCTGGCCTTGTCCTCACAGAGCTTACAGTCCAGTAGGGGAAGACAGACATGTCACAAGAGTATGACAACACAGAGTTGGCAGGTCTGGGACGGGCAACCCAGGGAGACCCAGATGGGGTGCCTGACCCAGTCTGACAGTCAGGGAGGACTTCCTGGAGGAGGAGGCATCTGAGATGAGTCCTCAGATGGGAATAGATGTCAGCTAGGAGGAGGGAGAAGATAGGAGAGTGTTCCAGGCAGAGGAAAAGCCAAGTACAGAAATCTGGAAGTGTGCAAGGTTATAGCACATTTGGGGAGGGTGACTAGTTTGGGGCATGAGGAAGAGGTACAGGATGAGGCTGGAAGTCAGCAGAGCCCAGACCGTGCAGGTTGTTTTAGGCCACAGCAGGAAGCTTGGTTGTCATTTTCAATGCAGTGGGGATCCATGGTGGATTTTGAAGTAGGGAGAGCTCCTGGAGCTAGAGAGAGTTTGTGGGAGGAAGATGGGGAGGGTGGGATGGGGTGTGAGTTGAGGCTGTAGGAACTGGCAGGAGATGGGTTCTGTAGAGTCTCAGAGGATATGGTGGGAAATTGAGTCTCATTCCAAGAACAGCTGGGAGCAGGAAAGAGGTTCTTCGAGCTTCAGAATGTTTCCTCTGGGGGCTTAGTGGAGAGAGAGGGCGAGGCAAACTGAAACTAGGCATGAGGTGGTAGTCATGGAGGCCCAAGATATGTCAGCCCATGGGTTTATAGAAACCAGGTAATGAAATCAGAGCAAGTATTGGAGTGAAGGGAGAATAACAACCATCATGATATGAATAACAGTAATACTAATCATGATGATGATGATGATGACGATGAAGGTGGTGATACTGACATCTCTTGAGTGCCAGTCACAGTTGCAAGTTCGTTTCCCATATGAACTCATTTAATCAATGTATTGTCAGTGTCTGGACTGGTGCTTGATCACTTTGCACTTTGTCCCACAAAAGTCTTTTGATTCTTTGTTATGTGAGCATGAAGGTGATGGAGAAGGGCAGTTCTCGCTCCTTTAGGGATGAATCATGTCCCATTTTATACCTAGAGGTGCTTTGTATTTTCTATGCCTCCCTTCCTAGACTGTAGGTTCTTTGCAGGCTGGGCTTGGTTTGGAGCATCTTTGAATCCCCCCAGGCACTGAAGGGAGACTTCAGCAATAATGATCACAATAATAACAGTGACGCAGGAGATGTGTGAAGCACTGTCGGGAGAGCATTTTACACAGACTGACTCAGTCATCACAACCTTTTCATGAGGCAGATCCAATTATTGCTCCTGTTTCTCAGATAGGCACCCAGAGGATCAGAGAGCTTAGGTCATTGATTCAAGATCACACCGCAGATCCAAGGTTTGACACCAGAGAGATGGCTACAGAACCACAGGTGTAACCATGAGCCTCCCTCTAGATGGGAGAGGCTGGAGAAATAAGCAGAGGTCAGAGCCCAGAGTTCTGGAATGCCGACCCCAGGAGTGTGGGACTGGGTTAGAGAGCGGTAGAGAGCCAAAGCAAGATCTGGGGTAGAGCAGGGAGAAGCCCCAAATGATGCAGTGCTAACAGTCCCCTCCCTGCCGAAGAGCGTGGCTCCCTGCTCTGACCTTGGCCATGTCTTACCGTGGTTAAGTTAGGGATGTGTTCAGCAGCAGACAACAAAAAACTCAACCACAAATGGCTTAAACACACTAAAGTTTCTTTTTTTCATGGAACCAAAAAATCTCTAGTAGGCAACGAGTAGGTACAGCGGCCCAGTCATATCACTAAACACCCAGGCTCCTCCTTTATTTCTCCTTCCCATTCTCAGCTTTTGCCCTCGTGGTGGCAAGATTGCTGTTGCACGTCCAGTTGTCAAGTCTATATTCCAAGCAGGAAGAAAGAGGAAGCAGAGGAGCAGGAGGTGTTTGAGTTTGAGTTTCCTGTTTTAGTTTCTAATACCATTTTACTTGGAGTCACAGCAAAAACCTCATTCTTTGAGATGTAGCCTGCAGAACCAAGAAACCACACAAACCACTTGATTGAACATTTACGAATTCAAGCATTTATTTCTTTAACAAGCCAAGGATGAGGCATCCCTTACAAAGTACAGAAAACACATTCATAACAGTGCCCATATCAGGAAAGGTAGAGCTTTCCAGAAACCCTCTGTTTATGTCTCATTGCCAGACTAGGTCAGATGGCCATTGTTGCAAGGGATTCTAGTAAAGCAAGTATTTAGTTGAGGACAGGGCTGCTGCTAGCTGCAAGGAATTCTGGGAAAGTGAATTTTTTATCTGAGGACATGGCTGTTGCTAGCCTCAAGGGATTCTGGGAAAGTGATTAATTTTAGCTGGGTATATGGCTCTCTCCGGTGGCAAGAGATTCTGGGAAAGTGAGCACATTTAGCAGAGCATGTGACTATGGTTAGCTGCAATGAATCTGAGGAAGTAAATCTTTCTAGCTACAGATATGGCTTTTGGTAGCTGTAAGCCTTCTGGGAAAAGGAATATTTTTAGCTAGGGATATGGCCATCCCTAGCAGCAAGGGGTCCTGGCAGGCTGGATATTTTAAGCTGGGCACATGTGGCCTCCTCTAGCTTCAAGGAATCCTAGGAAGGTAAATATTTTTACCTGGGCCCATAAACTCTCCTAGCTGCAAGGGATTCTGGGAAAGTAACTGTTTTTAGCTGCTAACTTAGCCATACATACCTGCAAGGGATTCTGGGAAAGCAATTTGTTTGTGGGACTTGTCTGAAAGTTAAACAAAACAGCCTCTGTAGACAAGGAAAGAGGCACGGGTATGTGCCCCAGCTGAGTTGTGTGCCCACAGGGGACGAGGAGGAGGAGGAGGACAGCTCCCGGGAGGAGCGGCTGCCATCCTGCTTTGACTACGTGATGCACTTCCTGACGGTGTTCTGGAAGGTGCTGTTCGCCTGCGTGCCCCCAACTGAGTACTGCCATGGCTGGGCCTGCTTTGGTGTCTGCATCCTGGTCATTGGCTTGCTCACCGCCCTCATTGGGGACCTCGCCTCCCACTTTGGCTGCACCGTTGGCCTCAAGGACTCTGTCAACGCCGTTGTCTTTGTGGCCCTGGGAACCTCCATCCCTGGTAATGCCCTGGGAGACTGCTTGTTGGGGTGGGGTCTCAGAGAAGCCTGGCAGGTGCAGCATAAGGGAAAGATCCTGCAGAAATAAGGTGGTGGAATCATGCAGAGCCCATGTGGCAGGGCCCAGAGAAATGTGGTGGGGGGCGTAACAGAAGCCAGGAAGGGGGTCCCATCGATGCAGTATGTGAATTCCATCCTTCCCAAAAGCAACCAGGTGGAATGTCCCGTAGAACTTAAGTGGTGGGAAATGGTAGAAACCAGACGATGGATTCCATAGAAAGAAGGTGGCAGAGCATTGAGGTGACAGGTGTTGGGAGAGGGATCCCATAGAAATAAGGTGGGGACTTCATAGAAATCATTCAGTGGGTTCTAGAGAAACAAGACATTACTGCCTCCGTCCCCCAGGGAACCAGACAGAACTGTGCTGATGGGCATGAGGAGAGCAAAACCAGTGAATCCGAAAGTTTTAACTAAGATGTGAGAACAGAGTAGAAACCAGATGTTGGAGGAGGAGGTGCCATAGGAATAAGATAGTGGGGCCTCAGAGGCTATAGAGAATGTCCCATTGAAACAAATGGCCATGATCTCCACTTCCCAATAAACCTAAGGGAGGGTCCCTTGGAAACAAGGTGGCGAGACTGAAATTCCGACGGGAGTGGGAAAACCAGGTGTGTGGGGGGCCCAGAAGTTTTCTTTTCCACGTGACTGTGTTCACCGGTCTGGTGGTGGCACTGTAGGCCTAGAAAGCAGGCAGTGGGGCGGGGAGTCTCACGGTTTTCTGATGCCTGCCTTCCACATCAGAGACTTGAGTTAGCAAGATGTTCAGGACTGGGGATGCCAGAGAAAGCAGGCTGTGTGCCTGATAGAAACTGAGTGGGAACTGACCGGATAGGGGTGCGTGTGGATGGGGCCGGACACATTTTTGTCCAGCCAAGTGGCAGTGGGATGGTTGGGCTCACAGAACACAGGCAGTGTGCTTAGTGAAAACAGACAGTGATTTGCATCACAAGCAGGCAGCGAGTCCCATAGAATGCAGTGGATTCCATAAAAGTCAGGCAGCAAGTCTCATCGAGGTAGGCAGCAGGTCCCCTAAAATATAGACAATGGGTCCCAAGGAAAGCAGCCTGAGAGTCCCACAGAAAGCAGGCAGCAGGTCACATGGAAAGCAGGGAACACGTCCGACAGCGTGTAGGCAGCAGGTCCCATCAACGTCAGGCGGCCGGTCCCGTGGCGAGCGGGCGTGGAGATGGCGACGGGCTTGGCCTCGGGTGGGTCGGGGGCCTCGAGCCCACGCGGCCTGCACGGGGCAGGCGGACGTCGCCCCTGTGGGTGGCGCGCGGAGCCCGTCCGACCGCGTGTCTCTGCCCCGCAGACACGTTCGCCAGCAAGGTGGCGGCGCTGCAGGACCAGTGCGCCGACGCGTCCATCGGCAACGTGACGGGCTCCAACGCCGTGAACGTGTTCCTGGGCCTGGGCGTGGCCTGGTCGGTGGCCGCCGTGTACTGGGCGGTGCAGGGCCGGCCGTTCGAGGTGCGCACCGGCACCCTGGCCTTCTCCGTCACGCTCTTCACCGTCTTCGCCTTCGTGGGCATCGCCGTGCTGCTGTACCGGCGCCGGCCGCACATCGGCGGCG